CCCCCCCACATGTCATGTTCTCTCTCTCTCCCAACCTCCACCTCCTCCTTCATCGACTTCAAAAGCATCTCAGCTGTTCGTGACCTGCATCACATCTAACCAAAAAGCTGAACAATGAAGATTGTCGGACCGTTGTCAATACTTACCATAACACAGCCACGTAGCGAGCCCAAACCGCCGAGCCCGTCGACGACCCCTCGCTGGCAATCCGCAGGAAGAAAGAACATCCATGGCGGTAGAAACCTACTCGATCCGCCATCTCTCGTAGCCCGCCGTTAGAATCTTCACCAAGATCAGACCTAAGGGCAATACTCCCAAGGAATGAAAGCAGCACCAAACCCACTCCTCCTCGTCTCATCGCACGTCCCTCTCCTCACGCAGCGGTAGAGAAGGTAGAAACGTACCACCGTCGCCAAGGCACAACCACTCTCATCCTACGTAGCTACCATCCTTCAACAATATATATATATATCGCTGTGTACCACAGTGCGCCAACCTTTGGAGGGCACCAACTCTCGCCGTGAAAACGCGATGTCGATATGGGGCGCAGCTCTCCCGGTAGCGCTGCACCCCGACCGAGCCTCCCAATGCTGCCATCTATCCATCCCGGGGTGGGTGGGGTGGATATCATAACCGGTATGGTTCCACTTTTGAACACCATGTCCTACTGTAGTGGTTAAAATACCTGGCTCTTGAGGCCGCGGACGACAGTTCAAATCCGTGCTTGCATGGTGGAGGGCATTGGGCTCATGCAGGGATGGGTAGTTTCCTGTAACCTCAGCATTGGGGAACTAGATGTGCAGATCCACTGCCCGCCCTATCCCCCCCCCCCTCTTTTTTTTTTTTTTTTTTTTTTTTTTTTGACACACTTCAATCTATTCGTGGGGAGTATGACGTGCTGGGAGCCGGGCCCGACGTCCCATCTCATGAGAATACAATAATGAAAGTCGAGGATGATTGATGATGATTAATGATGATTGATGACGAGTTGTAGATGATTTGAATGACTAGGATAATTTGGATTGTAATCTAGCTGAAATGCCCCTCTCAAAACTTTACTTCTATCTAATCCTTAATTTCAGGTATCCCTATTATGCCAGCCAAATCCAAACTTCGCTATACTGTCTTCTCAGCCAGGTCGATGCCCGGTCTCAAGCGCCAATCAGACTAGGTTACAGGGCAGTGCAACCCACCCCAGCTCCGACCATGGCAGTGGCCCAAGTTAGTCACTGGATGTCCTTCCACATTCGGAAATCCTCAGATCTCTCTACAAGGCCTCAAGCCTCTACATGCATAGGTTTTTTAGGGCAATGTCCCAGCACCGGCCAGCGTCGTTCTGACATCGACTAACCTGGACTTTTAAACAAGCACAGCCATATCTGAATACAAGAAAAACAATATTGACATAAAAAAACCTGGATTGAACTTCAGTAGACCGGGAGCGTTGCGCCCCCGCCGGAGCAATCTTGGAGATGAAGCAGTGCGACGCGGGGTCTACCGGAGAGGCTGGGAGAGCCAGGTGACGCGGTGGGCGAAGACGCAAGGCGACGCGATGGGCGACGATGCAAGGAAGCGAGGCGAAAGAATTGTAAGTACGGAGGAGTTGGCGACGAGGTGGACGGTGGGATATGGTGGTGTGCGGTAGGAGATCGGGTGTGGGGTAAGGCAGGGGGAGGAGGGTGGGGCAGTCGGGCAGGGGGATGAGGACGCGCCGTACTAGGTTAGGACTTGTCGTCTTCGGTTTTTGAAAAACCCTCCCCTCTTCCTCAACGTATGGTATGGGTATAGTTATGGTGGTTTTGAACCCCTTGTGGCGACTCGCAAACCGGCTTGGCGAGGAGGTGCCACACTGTTTTCGATTTCCTTTGGGGGATTGAAGATGGTCGTTTATGTCACGCGTGGCTTGACTGTTTTATAATTCGCACTCTACTAATAATCTTCGGATAACCAAGTTTTTCATCCTAAGGTTGACTTTTCGTTGATGATTCTAATTCATCTTCTTGACAAAAGGACTCTAATGATGTGACGTATCTGAACTTTAATTGAGAGTTTCATGTCCTGCTGACAATCGTGATTTTTCTGATTCGTCACGTTTTTTTTCCCTGATTTTTATGAGAATTGCGATTTGTTCAACATCTGATTCATGAGATCTTATGTGTTCCTGGATAAAATTGATCCCTAATCCGAAATTCATATTTTCTATTCTGAGCAAGATTCTTAATCTGAAATTTGTATTTTCTGAGCAGGATCTCGCATCTTAAATTCGTATTTTCTGAGCAAGTGTTTTCTGGATAAAATTGATCCCTAATCCGAATTTCGTATTTTCTATTCTCAGCAATACTCTTAATCTGAAATTCGTATTTTCAAGCAGAATTTTTCATCTTAAATTCGTATGTTATGAGCAAGAGTCATAATCTAGAACTAGTAAATCAAAATTTTACTCTGATTCCAATTAATGATTACCCAAGTTTGAATTTCATAAGGTTACAAATTGATTTTCTCATAGTGGAATTGATGTCCCATGTTTACCCAACTTTGATCTAATTCTAAATTTGCTCTTGGTTTTCGAAAGTTGTAGTTGAGATTTGCTAGGAGGTGGTCTTGCAAACAAAAGGGGGAAGGTCAAATTAGAGGCATGTGGGAAGTGAGAGGTTCACTCAGAGGAGGTTTCGACAGTTCAAGGCGGTAAATCTATTATCCGAAGGGTGGGGTGGGACGACATTGGCCGGTGCTGGAGCATTTGCTCTGTGACCAGGGCGAGCTTGAGGCCACTGAAGTTATGCCGATGGTGGAAGGCATAACCATCTCGTCCTACGTAGCTGTTGCCGGGGTGGTAACCCTGTAACCTTTTGAGGGGCTTCACAGTTAAGGGAGTTGTTGAGGGGGAAGACACTCTCTGTCCGTCAGAAACAATTAGGTTGGTGATGGGGTAGTTTGTATAGCCTTGTAACCCTAGCAGGGGGGGTATGAGATCTGATGACTTCTGGTACGAGGATTGAAAGCTTGAGCAGTGTGTCCTTCATCTGTGGTGAGGGAAGGAGATGGATTGTTAGTGAGTCTTGTTCTTGTCCTTTTCCCTTTTGGTTTTCGTAAATGGGAAGGCGTGAGTTGGAAGTATAGTTTGGAGGAATTTTGGGTGGGCTCGTGCAGTAGAGGAAGGGTTGCTCAGGGTAGTAAGTCTACTAGAAGGGTGGAGTGGGGCGACTTTGGCCGGTGCTGGAGCAGTGGCTCTATGACCGAGAGGAGCTTGAGGCCATTGGAGTTATGTCGAGGATGAAAGGCATAACCACCCCTTTCAACGTAGCTGATGCCGAGGCGGTGACCCTGTAACCCGCTAGGGGGCTTGCAGCTAAGGAAGTAGGGAGAAAGACACTTCCTGTCCGTCAGAAAACAGTTAGTTTGGTGTTGGGGCAATTTGTGTTGCCTTGTAACCCTAGCTAGGGCTAGCTAGGGGGGTGTGAGAACTGGCGATTTCTGGTTCGAGGACTAAAAGCCTGAGCCGCGGTTTCTCGTCTGTAGCGAGGGCTTGAGTTGGATGGTTGGTGGCTCTATTTTTGATTTCGTCTCTCTGTTATTTATCCTTTTTTATTTCTGAATATGTTCCTGGAAAAAAAGTAGGCCGTGATATTCTTAAGAATGTTTTTAGAACTTTGGGGACTCCTAGCAACTCGTCTTAGGTGGCTCCGATGCTGTTATACTCAGTGATCTGCGGTTGTTCGATGCTAAAACGACGCTGGCCGGTGCTGGGGTGTGTTGCCCTGTAACCTGCTGATGCAGGAGCGTGAGGCCTGGTAGAGAAATCTGGGGGTGCTTTGGGGTGGGCATTCCACGGGACAACCAAGGGTTGCTGCTGGGACGATGCTGGTCAGAGTTGGGGTGAGTTGTGTTGCCCTGTAACCCAGCAGCATGTGGGGGTGTGAGGCCTGGAAGAGCTCAACAGGGAGTAAGACAGTGTTGGAAGAACTTTGGAAGGTTTTGGTAGGGATTTCGAGTTTCTTGGATCATTTGTAGCACCTCTGCGGTCTATTCCCATACTTCCCGAATTACTGCAATTTTTCTCATACATTTTCTTAATCGAAGCCGGGTAATGGCCCCGGTATCGCAAAAAAGGGGATCGAGGTGAGTGTGAGAAGGATATCACGCGTCGTACTAGTGAGGGGGCTAGCTGGAAGGATGGGAATAGGGCATAGCAGCAACAAAGATGGTGACTCTGCTGCAGTAAGCCTTGCCGGAGTGGGGTAAAGGGGATTGATTGGTGTTGTCTGAGCCTTTTTCTGAATTGTGCATATGTTTTGTTCCAAAAAACAAAAAAAGGGTGGGTGGGGTTTTCAAAAGACAAAGATGGTGGGATTTCAAGCGTCCTACTAGTGAAGGGGCTAGCTGGTAGGATAGAAATAGGGTATAGCAGCAACAGAGATGGTGGCTCTGCTGCAGTAAGTCTTGTCGGAGGGTGGTAAAGAGGATTGATGGGGGGTTCCTGAGTCGTTTTCTGGATTTGTCTATTTCTGAAGTTTGTCGCAGTAGTTTCCAAAGTAGCTCCGATTTTTCTTAGCCAAAGCCAGGTAATGGGCCCGGTATCTCAATTTTCAAAGTCTATGTAAAGTTCCATATGGGACGCCGGGCCCGGTTCCCAGCACGTGCTGCTCCCCACGAATAGATTGGAGCCTTGTTCCCATTAAAAAAAAAAAGATTACTGAAAGGATCGTGAAGGATGATGAACCAACTATTGAAGATCGTGACGATGACAATTATGACAAAGCTGACGCAAAAATTTCTCTCCGCCCCCGTTCCTTCCTCTCCTCCTGCCTGACCGTTGCCTCCACCAAGAAGGACTGCCCTGATCACAAACACTCCCCCTCAGCCTCAACGTCAGCAGAATCACTTCCTTCCTTTGCTCCCACAAAAGCATTCAATCCTCGCCTAAAGTATGCTTTTGTCGACCCCTTGCTTTTACGTGCCACCGGTAGGGTATAATGCCCTGATCACAAACACTCCCCCGACGAATTCTCCAGACGTACTGGTGGTTAACCCCAGGGCTGTAGGCTGTTCCAACTACCAAGATGTTTATCACTATTATTAATTTTTTTAACCACCAGCACATTCCTCAGCCATTTTTCTCTGACACGGTCGTTAAACCACCAGTACACCTGGCCCTGGAGGTGCTGCACCGCACAACAAGATTCTCCAAACCGCCAACAGCGCACCTTTTTCTTTTGGGGTAACTACGACGCAGTCATGAAAGCAGTTTGTAATTGCATTTGAAACTGCGATGTAGCAGTTTAGTCAGGGCCCGAGTTTCAAGTTTCTCTCTCTCTGTCTGCTCCCTCTCTCTCTCTCTCTCTCTCTCTCTCTCTCTCTCTCTCTCTCTCTCTCT